AGGGTAGAAAGGAGACAGATTAAAAAGAGAATTAGGAGCCATATCAAACCATTTGTAGATATACAAGGAGGTTTCAAAAAGTTCGTGGAAAAGGGATTTAAAAGATAATGGAATTTCCCCATGAACTTTCTAGTTTTCTTATTGCATTGCAGTGAATTATTTAATATGGCTCTTGTAGCCATAGTCTTTATAACTCCCATCAAATAATTTTTTCTGATGTATCTTGGTCGGAGAACGGGGGAGATAATGATGCAATTATATGGCTTAGCCGTGATTATTAGCAAGGCTAAATGTGATGGTAAAAGCCTGGCACTCTAACTAGGGGAGTTGGTCAGATTGCCTCTCCAGTTGGTTTAAAATAAGCTATCTCAGCAGCTGGAGAAGGAAGAGCCAGGTGTGAAGCCCGTCCAATCCAGAGACAGACAGAAGTGGATGCAGCAAAACCAAGAGCCATAACACACTAGTGAGTGTATGCAAGCAGGAGGCAGGCCAACTGACTCAGAGGCCACATACTAGGGAGCGAGGTGTTCCTCGGCCACAAATGATATTAAGAGGCTGTGCAGATTGGCAGGACTCTGTCCTGAACATTTCTGGTCCGGAGCATTTCTGATCCTGAGTAACTTAATAACTTCCCAAATAAAGCCCATAACTGTGAATATGGTCTATAAGTTGTGTGTGGCCACTGCCAATGAATTATCAAAGCCAGCCGAGATGCAGAGTTCTTTCTGTAGGGTGGAAGGATGGGGTCAGACGAGGAAGAGAGCTGCGGTGGGTGCTTGTCTGAACTCTACCTTATAAGAACTGGCCTGGGGAGCTGGTGCTGATGATGGCGATTCTTCGTCCCGCTTTGATTTGCGGGAGAGACCCTTTCCATGCTATTTTTATACTCGTATATAGTTTTCCACTGCGATCAAGTCAGTTTCCACTCATAGTGCACCTATGGGACAGATCAGAACCATCTCTGTGGGTTTCTGAGATTGCAAATCTTTCTGAGGCACGACACTAAGCCATCGGGTAAAGATTTAGTGTCAGAAACCCACAGGAGGAATTCCATTCTGTCCTGTATGATTTAGTGTCAGAAGCCCACAGGAGGAGTTCCATTCTGTCCTGTATGGACAGAGTAGTAATTATCTTGAAGGCAGTGATTGAGTGAGGTTGGGTTTTTTTTAATTTGTTTTTTTATTAGGTTTTTTTTTAATGTAGTATTAAGAGTGCTTTTTATTCTTTAAAAATCATTTTATTAGGGGCTCATACAACTGTTACCACAATCCATACACACATTGTGTAAAGCACATTTGTACATTCATTGCCTTCATCATTCTCAAAACATTTGCTCTCCACTGGCATCAGCTCCTCATTTTTCCCCTCCCTCCCCACTCCCCCCTCCTTCATGAACCTAATTTATAAATTATTATTTTGTCATATCTTGCACTGAGTGAGTAGTTTTTACTTGGATTCTAATCTGAATTGCTTAAAAAAATTAAAATATCTTGACTTGATATTAAAAAATTAATTTTAAGATATGATAATGGTATCATGTGTTTTATTTTAATAAAGCCTTTATCGTTTTTAGGAGCACTGGTGACCCAACACTTAAAGCACTTGGCCTCTAACTAAAAGGGCAGTGATTCAAACACATCCGTTGCTCTGAGGGGGTAAGATATGGCAGTCTGCTTCCATAAACATCACAGCCTTGGACACAGTGGGGCAATTCTACTATGTCCTATACAGTCATGAATCGGAATAAACTTGATATCACTTGTATATCAGATAAACTGAAATATTTATAGATGAAATGATTGCTTCTGGGACTATGTAAAAATCATGGGAACGGATAAATAAGGAAAAGTGTATGGGGGAAGAGAATTAACAAAAGTGAGCATGCATTGATAATTTCTGAAATAAAAGTGATGAATACCTAAAACTATGCTTCTCATACTCTAAGATTTTCATCTTAAATGTTTACATTTTAAAAATAAAAATATTCTGCTAGATATGGCATCTATGGAAATTCTCCAGGACAACATGTGGAACAACTCCTCATAAATGAGATTCTCAGAAAGTTTTGCTTTGTTAACTTACCAGTGGCTCCAAAGGCATCTAGACACTCCAGAGGGCTTCGTTCTCCAGCCAAAGCAGCCAGCGTACAGAATATTAGCTGTCTAAAGGAAAGTGAAATGAGTTTACTGAATCAGGGACTCTATATTGCAGGTCACCTATTTCATGTGGAAACAGCCAGAATTGGTATCCCTAGTTACTGTTACATAGTATTTTATAATGAGATCTAGCAACACATTTCTAATTCTATAGCATAAGAACTAAACATTTATGAAACAATGAAGTTATTCTCTTACCACAAATTATGAAGTTACTGTGTCACCACCATTCACAATAATAATGATTTTGTAACTATTAAAACTTGTCCACAAAAACTAGTTTGCTAGCTGAGAGAAACTGATTTGGTTTTAAAAAAATCAATTATTCTTGAGATCATTGATGCTAAGATTATTTTCATTCTGTTTTAGGTCTGCATACATATGAACATAAAGGTTAAAGAGAGATACATCTTTAGTGATCTGAAAGATCCCATTACCCTTTTTTAAAGTTTCTTACCGATTTAGTTTCATTTTGGGATTAAAATAAGAATCTGTTTTCTGAGGTATGGAATAGTTAGGACAAACTTGCACATCTGTGTCTGCCTCTTTCAAAATTTCATTAGGTGGTTTAATAGCAGAAGCTAAGATGGAGAAAAGAAAAAAAAGATTTCTGAAGAAAAAAAAATCAAACATCGAAAAAAATATATACTTGGAAAAATTACTTTTATAATACTTTGTGTTAATACAATCACTCACATACAAAAAAAACCTCAACAGATTTTCACTGTGAACGAAGTTATTAACTATAACTCAACTGCCTACCACATTAATATATATGCTCAATGATATTAATGAACAATCAATTTAAGATAGCAAAATATCCTATCTTTATAACTCATAAAACACTACATTGCACTAGTATAGGCTAACTGCTAAATATATTTTATTGTCCCATAAACTCTGCCATTGAGTGGATTCCAATTCATAGTGACTATGAGACAGAGCAGAGCTGCCACTGTGGGCTTCCGTGATTAGCAAACTTTACTAGAAAGCCTCTTCTTTCTCCCAAGGAGCAGCTGGTGGTTTTGAACTGCTGCTCTGGGGTTAGCAGCCCAACGTGTAATTCATTATGCCTCCAGAGTTCCTTATTCTAATAGTCTCTAGAAAAACTGTTTCTTATGAAAAGTCCTGAGGACACTGCGGGTTGAGCATTAGATTGTTAACCGCAATGTTGATAGTCTCTCTCAGAGGAACAAGTTGAGGCTCTCCTAGCCCTGTAGAAGATTTGTGGCCTTGGAAATTCGGCCTAGGGTTGCTATGATTTAGAATCTACATGAGGAAATTGTGTTTCTTCATGGCTGGTTAAGAATCACTATCTTGGGACGGACAACCGAAAAGTGGGTGAAGGGAGATGTAGGACAGGGCAAGATATGACAAAATAACAATTTATAAATTATCAAAGGCTCATGAGGGAGAGGGGAGGGGGGAGGGAGGGGAAAAATGAGGACCTAATGACGGGGGGCTTAAGTGGAGAGGAAATGTTTTGAGAATGATGAGGGCAATGAATGTACAAATGCGCTTTACACAATTGATGTATGTATGGAATGTGATAAGAGTTGTATGAGCCCCTAATAAAATGATTTAAAAAAAATCACTATCTTTACTGAACATATAGAACTTCAAAATATCTCATAAATATAAATTAATAAATTGCGTTCAAATGAGATAATGGAAAAACATGATTCTACATATAATGTGTATTATATAATAATTTAGCATATAAGCCCAAAGCGAATAAACTAATGGTTTATGGATATATTTAATTAAATTATTTACTTTTTAAAGATGATTTTTTGGGGGCTCTTATAGCTCTCCTAACAATCCATACATCAATTGTATCAAGTATATTTTACATTATGTTGCCATCATTATTTTCTAAACATTCACTTGCTATTTGAGTCCTTGGTATTGGCTCCTCTTTTTTCCCTTCCTCCCCACTGTATTTTAAATATATAACAAATGAAACATACCTAGGGAGAAATAATTGAGACACTTTATTTTTGGACTTTTGGATTTCTTGGTAATACTATAATTAGAATTATTAATAACTATAAGACCATCTTTCACTTTCTACAATGCTAGGTACCTTTCTCAGTGTTCTGTTGTATATCTTTCTAAACCCACCAAAGAGGCACATCGCAAATCTCAAAAGGCCAACCTATCTCATACAAGGTTCTCCGAGAAAATTAAGTTCTACGGAAAATTATTCAGTCATTGTTTTTCTCAATTCTCAAAAGAATCGTATATAGTACCATCTAGCTGCATAATAGATAAGCTAATTCATTGCATATAATTAATGTCTTAGGCCATTAAGAATTCAATGTTTAATTCTTGTGAAAGGCTACCAAAGTAATAGCAAGTTATTAGTAATATGAAACAACTTCACATAATAAATGGTATTTTTTTAATTCTACCTTCCTTTTCCTGGGGTTTTCAATAGCTAGTATAGCATAGTTAACAATGTAGGAGGTGTCATTAGGAATCAATATATTTTACTTTTTATGGAAATCAATATGTTTATCATCTTTCATCAATCTAGCTATATACCACTTTAAAAATATTCTTAATAATATTATCACTTAAATTTTTTTAGCACTCAAAAAATATATTTTTTGAGAACATCTGAATCATCATGTTACACAAAAATAAAGTAAGAATTTTTATGTTTCACAGGAAGAAAAGCAAACCTAAAACAAAAGAATACCCAATGAAATGATTTGGTTAAATTTATATTAATGATTATATATTATATGTTAAAGGATTATCTGCCTAATGTGGGTAAAGACCATTTTTACAGAATTTCAATATTAACATTATTAAGATTGCTCAACTTACCAGCAAAATACCTGGATTTTGTCTCCCCTTTATTCACATGGCGCCTAATATGGCCTAACATATCGGTCCTTCGAGTAATTGTTGCTGAACAAATGATACAATGATAATGGGCGCCCATTTTACTGGATATCTATCAAATAGAGTATTTACATTAAAGAGTTACTAAGACATGAATGGAATTTTACTTAAGTTTCAAATTTAAGCATATTAGGATATGTTGGGTTTTTTGGTATAGAAGTATTAATTTGGCCATTTGAGTTTGAAGGTATTTTTTCCTTGTATAATTATACTTACATAAGATTTTTATATCTTATTTTAAAACAGGCAAAAATTTACCCTACTATTTTTTTCTCATTTTTTTCTAATGTGCAAATAACTTTACACTACTGTTTATAAGCTGCAATTACAAATGATGTAATGCTAGCTGTGGTACATTGTTTATCAGCTGTCTCTCTAAAAAAATAAGTCCCAATTTGTAGCATTCATAGATTTCTATGATAAAATACTTCTACTGTGGCTTATTTCAAGCTACATTGTGAATAATTTCAAGTGAGCAAAATAGGTGATATCACTAAATGAGAATTTAGGTAAAGTGGCTGAGTATTACACCATTATAGAGGAGCCTTGGTAATGTCGCCCACTGGGTTGTTATCCACAAGGTCAGCAGTTCAAACACTCTTTCCAGCTGTTCTACAGGAAAAAGATGTGGTTTTCTTCTCCTGTAAAGATTTATACTTGCAGAAACTCAAGGGACCATTCTACCCCGCCTTACAGGATCACTATGTGTCAGAGGTGACTGGTAGACAATGAGTTGTGTTTCTTGGTTTTTTTATTGGCACATAATCCACATCATACAATTCAATACTTCAATCATACTAAGAAGAATTAGACAATGATTACCCCAATCAATTTTCGAATAATTTTCTTTCTTTTAAAAAATACATCATTATGCAACTTTTGCACATATAAATTATATACTGCACATATATATTATATATTATGTTATTGTTAATAAGCATATATTAACAGTATATGGAGGAAAATTATTAGGGAGTGTACATTTTGAGTGTTTATTACTTTTGTTTTAAATATAATTTATTCTAAGTTTGTATTAATTATCTTTAATGATGGGTAACATTAATTTTACCCATTCTTCTGAAAATTGGAGTGATATATCTAGCATTCTACAGAATGTCAGAGTTGCAACACAATATTCTGCCAATAAAAGATGCTAACTTGTTCATAATTCGGGAGCAAAACAATTATTCCAGTGGCTTTCTATGACTCCCCAAAAGAACAGTATCAATTTTGATGCCTTTTTCTTTTACAGTTTCTACTTCTTTTAGGACCGTACAGCAGTAAAGACTAGCCAAGAATCTAGCACCGAGTTCCTTCTTGGGCAGCAGCTATCAATTCAGAAGATCTTGAATACTTAGATGAACCAGGCTTTGCCTTAACTACTGCTCGGGTCTCAGTTTTTTCAGAGCAGTTTTAATTTTTTTTCCCCAGCGAGCTCAAAGAAACCTTAATAATGAGAACCATTAAGCTAACACATTTAGAAGAATTTCAATAAAAATATTTTAGACTTTATTTGCTCCAAACATCAAACTTCCTTTAAAAATGAATATATGTATTTCTAAAGAGGTTGTTAAGGTTTCAGGAAGTTTCATGAGGAGGATTATTGTAAACTGATGCATAAAATGAGATTCTTAAAGTAGGCCACAATGACAATCTTAAAAAAGTAAAAAAAAAAAATTATATACTTTCTTTAAAGAGGGTTAAATTAAAAAGATTTTAGTTTTTAGTCTACTTTCTGATTACCTGTTCTCCAATAATGTTTGGTTTTACTGGTCGACAAGGTAAGTGACAGATGCACATCCTGTAACCTAGAATAAAGAATAGTTGTTTTATCATTGTTCACTATTTACTTATTACATACTACTAATCTAAACTTTACAAAACTTATTAGCAAATTTTACTTGATAAGAATTCATTATTCTTATTTTATGTCATTTATTTACTTGAATGTAGTTGCCTTATTTAAGATACTTACATGTTATATAACTCTAGTATAAAAACAAATTTTTAGTACAGTTATAAAACAAGAAAATACATAAGATATAATTCAAATCCTGGTTCTGCCAGTATTCTTGGTTTTATCATATTTCTGCCAACATGACCTTTTTTTCAGCTTCTTTTTCTTTGCTTTATGGTACAGTTTTCACAATATGCCTTCTTTTGTTGCTTCTTCATGGTCTTACCACCCTTGTTAATGTTTTCTTACATATCCTCTTCCATTTGTTGTTGTTGTAAGGTGCCACTGAATCAGTTCCAATGACAGCAATCCTATGAACAACAAAACTCACACTGCCCAGCCCTGTACCACCACCACCATCATTGCCATCTCTAAGCCACAGGCTCAGCACTGTGTGATCCATCTCATTAAGGCTCTTCTTTCTCACTGGTGCTCTACTTTTCCAAAACATTGAACTTCTGCAGAGACTCCACTCTCCTGATAACAAGTGCACAGTACACGACGTCTCCCCAACAGACTTTCTAAGGAGCATTCTTGGCTGTACTGCTTCTTTCCAGAGAGATTTGTTTGTTCTTCTGGCAGTCATTGGTACTTTATTCTTTGCCAAATGCATTATTAAAATGCATCAGTTCTTTTATGGTCTTCCTTTTTCATGCATGTTGAGCAACTGAAAACACTACGGCTTAGATCAGCACAACTTAGTACTCTAAGTGACATCTTAGTTTTTACAGCAGATTTGCCCAATGCAATATGTTGTTTGATAGCTTGATGGCGACTTCCATAGCAGTTGATTGTGGAGGTAAGTAAACAAATCCTTGACTCTTATATTTTCTCCATTTATTACTTATCTTGTACCATAAAATGCATATAAGGGCGCTTAACATTTTTTTTGGGGAAAAAGCCCCTATCTTCTCATTCTATTTTTCCCATTCCTTTTTGAAGCACCCCTATGTATTCCTTAGACTTGGTGTGCTATGTGCTATTCTCAATTTCTTGGTAATTTTAACTCCTTTCATCATTGCCATCTTATTCCCTCAAAGAAAGAATCCCCAAATATGTCTCTATTTACAAACTTGCACTGGAAATTCAGACCCCTATTTCTAATTGCCTATTATTAAGGATCTCTATTAGCTGTTTGTCGGTTTGTTGTACTGTGGTGGCTTGTGTTACTACATTGTTAGAAGTGATGCCACCAGTATTTCAAGTGTGGCCATATTAGCAGAGCAAGACTAAGATAACACATAGAAAAGATACCACATAGCCATCTGCTTTCAAAAATTAGCCCATGAAAGTTTCTCAGGTTATAAAATAACATTGTTTGACCAAATTTCTTTGAACACATCATGAGGAGAGATCAACAGAACATCACGTGTGAGGAAACAAAGGGCCACCAGGGCAGAGAAGACCTTCAGTGAGAAGGGTTAGCACACTAGCTGCCATGGTGGACTCAGCTACTGGCAATTATCAGATGATGCAGAACAGGGCAATATTTTATTTTGCTTGGCTATCACGAATCAGACTGAACTCAGTGCCAGATATACATACATACATACATACATACATACATACATATTTTATCTATTAAGGAATAGGCCTTAGTGGAGTGGGACTGTGGATTAAGTACTGGGCTGCTAACTTTCAAGCCAGTGTTTCAAATCTACTAGTTGCTCTGAAGGAGAACGATCAGCTTGTACATCATTCTTAAATTCCATAAAATTTTGTTGGTACTGATACAGGCAGTGCGTTTGGTTTTATAAAAAAACATCTATTAAGGATCTATGCCTATTTAAAAAATAATCATTTATACACACGAACACATATGTACATTTAAACATAAATAACAATGTAGCATCTGAGTTAGTCTCAACCCCTCTTCCCTAATGGAGCCCTAGTGGTGCTGTTAGGTAAGCATGAGGCTGCTAAACACAAAGTTAGCGGTTCAAACAAACCAACTAACCTGTGGGAGAAAGGTGCAGCTATCTGCTCTTATAACGGTTTACAGTCTTGAAAACCTGATGAAGGGCTGCCCTGAGCTGGAGCTGATTCAATGGCGGTAGGTTTTGGTTTGGTTTATGCTATAAATTAAACATAAGTATAAACATAAGCATACATATATTTAAGGTTGGTACTTAAAGAGTTTTTGGTTCATTTTTTGCTCATCAAAATATTACAAAACCTCTTTTTACCTTTTGCCAATCTGGTAGTTGAGAAGTAGTGTCTTTTTAATTTAGACTCTCCTTACTACTTAAGATTGGCATCTTGGAAAATGTTTAGACTGCACAACTCTTTTTAATATACTTAAACCATTACATTTATAGTACATGAATTATGTCAATTAAACTGTAAAAAAATAAATTTTAAAATGTTGACTGGCCATTTGATCATGCATTCCTTATGAATGATCCTTATGAATTGTCATTCCTCTCTTTTGCCCACTTTCTTATTGGGCAATCTTTCCTTTTTAATCAGTTTGCAAAGCTCTCTGTTGATGACAGTAACCATTTATCTGGCATCTGCCCTCATTCATTGCCTATTTGTTTTCCTAACATTTTTCAAATGTGTGATTTCTCTGGTCACTCAAAGTCGTTAATTTTCTGAATATCTAAGAGTCTAGATTTTCTAATAGTTTTGGGTTTCCTGTCTCGGTTGAAAGCTCCCCATCCTAGGAATAGAAACTACCCAAAATGTAATTTTCTAATTTATAAGGAACTTGCTTTAAATTTAGAGTGAGGAAAGATTTATTACTTCAAGATGAGTAACAATTTATGACAGAATTAGTAAAATATTTTCCCCACCAAAATGACATCCAACCTTTGTCTTAAGATAAATTCCTGTACACACAGGCATTTATTTCAGTTCCTTATTGGATCTAGTAAATTTACTGGTTTAACCCTATGTCATCAAGTCAATTTTTATTATATGAAATGATATACTTGATTTTCTGGCTTAGTTTCTTTGTACATCTTGTTTTTGGCTGTTCTGGAAGGAGAAACTAGACAGAGTAGATCTCTCTTCACAGCCATAGAATCAAAGCCAACTATCAATGACTATAGGATAGGGTAGAAGTGCCTCTGGGGGTGTCCAAGAATGTAACTCCACAGGAGTAGAAAGCCTCATCTGTCTCCCTCAGAGTAGCTGGTGGTTTCATATTGCTGACTGCAGTTAGCAGCCCAATACATAACCACTATGCCATTAGGGCTCTGCAGTAGATAGGGTATACTGGTTTACTTGTTTATTTGGGTCTAATTATACCTGGATATAATTACAGTTTTGACTAGATGGGTATGCTTAGAAGTTTCATGCAGCTCCAAGCTATTTTTCAACGAGATTTTACTTCGAGCTCCATATATATTCAATTCAGGGCAACTAACATTTTTACAATTGTGTTTTTATTATCTAGGAATTTAGGTCGTTTTGAACTTGGTAAGATTTGGGGATTTTTTTGTTGTCCTTTAACTTTGTTTTTTCTTTACATGGATCTTCTTGTTACGTTTTCCCTCTATATTGTATTATTTTGACATTAATATAAATGGTGTATTTTTTCTAAATACATACTTAGACAATGAAGGCTATGATGACTATTTATCTTTATTTAATTAAAAGATCATTTTATTGGGTGCTCTTACATCTCATAATAATCCCATACATCAACTGTATCAAGCATATTTGTACAAATGTTGCCATCATTATTTTCTAAACATTTACTTTATATTTGAACTCTTGATATCAGCTCCTCTTTTTCCCCCTCCCTTACCTTTCCCCCATGATCCCTTGATAAAGTCTAATATTATTTTCATATCTTACACCAACCGCTGTCTCCCTTCCCCCATGGTTTCTGTTGTTCGACGCCCTGGTGGGGAGGGGTGTGGTCATGTGTTCATCATTGCAATTGGTTCCGCCTCCCACTGCTCTACCCACCTTCTCACTTCCCTCCTGGTATCGCTACTCCCATTCCTGTTCCTGAATTCCATGTGTCATGAGCTCTTATCTCCTCTGTACCTGTGTATATGCTCCAGTGTAGCCTGCAGTGAAAAGCAGGGCTCGGGTCAAGAACCAGAGGAATATTGTGTTTCCTCAGTGGTATACTGCACCCTGGTTGATTCATCCCTTCCTTGTGACCCTTCTGTGAGGGGATGTCCAATTGTCTACAGATGGGTTTTGGGTCTCTGCTCTGACCTGCCTTGTTCTCAACAATATGGTTTTGTTTACTTGTTTGCTTTGGGTCTACTGATAAACCTGGAAATCTGGAAACCTCGTGATCACACAGGCTGGTGTGCTTCATGTGGGCTTTGTTGATTCTGAGCTAGATGGTCGCTTGTTTACCTTCAAACCTTTAAGGCCCCAGACGCTACATCTTTTGATAGCCAGGCACCATCAACTTTCTTCACATTTGCTTATGCATCCACTTTGTCTTCAGCAAATCATATCAGGGAAGGTGAGCATCACAGAATGCTGGATTTTAGAACAAAGTGTTCTTGTGTTGAGGGAGTACTTGAGTAGAGGTCCAATGTCCGTCAGCTACGTTAATACTTAACATATATGTACATAGGCCAATACCTCTATTTTTATGAATTAATGTAGACTATTCTTCTCATATCTTGCTTTCATTATACTTATGTCTAGTAATTTTCTTATAGGCATCATATGAAAATAGATGTTATCTTCTGTTTTCCAATATACATATCTATTATTTTGTTCTCAGTCTACTAGATTTAATACACAGTACCTTCAAAAAATGTTTAATATGGCAATAGTTCTGAAAAAGGTAAGTATAACTTATTAATCTCTTATAATAAATTTGGACACCTTGAAGACTGAGCAGAATACCCAGTACAGAGCAGATGCTTAATATGATGGGCTCCAAAATGTACATAGAAAAATGGAAATAAAATATAGTGAAAATTTCCCATGAACTTTTTGAAGCCCCCTTGTACATGATGGCTGAACTAACTATACATGTCATTTATCTATTGCCTTGAGAATCAGGCTTTTTAAAATTAAACACAAAAAAAGAGGGGTTACTAGATCCTTCCTAATTTTAAACTGAAAGTATTTGATTATGCTAAAAAAAAAATCCAAAACCCAAACAAAATGTTAGAATTAAATCACATTTTAACAATCACAAAAAATACTAACCTTCATATTCAACTGAGACTTTCCAGTGTAAATTCTGAAGATGACGACGAAGTTTATGACTATTACAAGCTCTTAGTTTTTCATTAGGGCACAAAGGACAGGTCTGTTTGTTTCCTGAAAAAGAGAAAAAGAACCAATGAAGACCAGACTATACACTAGCTGTTCCTGCCTGGATTCACCTGTAGGATGTAACAAATGGCACATCCTCATTCAAGTTTTAGTGTAACTTCAGAGAGAAGTCTGTATCTCTGATCTACCCATTGCCACCTATTTGATTCTGACTCCGAGGGGCCCTATTTACATAGGGTTGCTGAGCTTGTAAATCTTTATAGCAGCAGATAGTCTCCTTTTTCTCCTTACAGAGTAGCTCGTAAGTTTGCACCATCAACCCTGTGGTTAGCAGCCCAATGTTTTTCCCACAGTACCACCAGGGCTCTTTCATGCAATGCCTAAACAAAATCAAAAACACCTCAGTGCCATCAAGTTGATTCCAACTCATAGCAACCCTATAGGGCAGGAAAGAGCTGCCCCTGTGGGTTTCCATGACTGTGACTCATTTCAGGGGTAGAAAGCCTCATCTGTCTCCTGCGGAGTGGCTGGGGTATGTGAGCGGGAGTAGAAGGTATAAAGTAGTTGTCCCAAAGAGTAGAAAAAAGAAAATATAGACTTCACAGGTAGTGATGAATACCCATTTGAGCTCTATAACCAGCATATAGTACATTTTTCTTGTTCAACTTTTATTGCTCCAGAACAAGTATGCAGTAGATAGAAACATGATTTTTAATTAGGTGGGGAATTTGCCTCCCATGTATGTTGGAAAGGTGGAGGCACAAGGGAGCCAGAAGATTTGCAAAGCGATTATTGTAATGGATCATACAATATAAGGTGGGTGGAAAGGAAGCACATGAGGGACCATACATATGGTTAAACATTAGCACCATCAATGGTTTTAAGGTCTCCTTTATTTTAAAAATTGTTGGAGTAGGATACATGAGTAAAAAGAATTGGAGCAGAAAGAGGAAGTAGAGGCTAAGATGCTTGAAAATAAAACCTGAACGAAAGAATACTTTAATTACTGTTTATAGACTTAATATACTTATTTTCATTCTGAAAATCACTTTAGAAATAGAGTAGAGAAATATTTACAAAGGAGCTTCAAAAAGCTTGTGGAGCAATTCCATTAGCTTTAACTTCTATTTAAATCCCCTATTGTTGAATGAAAAAGAAAATCTAGTAGAAAAAAATATAGAGAAAATTATAGTTCAAAGAAATGGTATGTGGCCAAACAATGGTGATTTGTGGCCACTTTGCTATAAAAATGAAAACTTTATAGAAAGATATTCATATAGGGCATTTCACAGAAAAAAATTAATAACCTTAAACAACAATTCTGAAAGGGAGCAAAAGGCAGATAAATAAACTGTAGGAAACTGAGAACCGGGAAGAGTGTGTATGTGGACAAATACTCAGGGGTCTGGGAGGCAGATTCCGGTGGAAGGTGGCCTTCACACTCGTGAGTTGGAGATGCATTCCAGTGACATTCTCTTAACTAAATTGTTACCCATGATATTCCTCGTAATAATGCCAATTTTTAGGTGCTGCTTGCAAGCACATGGTGGCTACCAAACACTTGAAAGCTATCTGCTGGAAGGCCATCTGCTACCAAGAGCAATCAGAACACGCCACCCTAAGTATGGCCCATTGCTTCTGATGAGAATCATAGCTGGCTCCCCTGGAGAAGGGCTCAGAGACACCTAAGGTCAAGTCAGCTCAGAGATGACTGAGGGTAAGTCGCCATCTTAACTCTAGAACCTGCCCATCTTGTTTACTTATGTATCTCCCTATCATGTGTATGCCCCTGGCATGTGCCCCTTCCTGTTGTGTGTATGCCTCTAATACATTCCCTTCCTGTTACAGTATGTGTATGACGTGGCTTGCATGCCCGAGATGATATAAGGTTGTGAGACTATACATTCTCCCACTCTCTGGTTCCAGTCTCCAAGGAAGAGGTGAGCCCTTGTATCCCTTGTCTGATGTTTCTTTAATAAATTTACCCTTCGATTATACAACCGCCTCCTAGGACCCATTCGGTTGTGGAGGCTGGTCCCCCACAATAACCAAAGATTCAAGAATGGATTTGAATCCTAGCTTCAATATAATTAGTTCTTATATCACCACCTTGATTGATACTCACCCATAAGAAGGGAACACAGAAAATATCGGTGCTATAACAAAGCGTGATGAAGAAATGAGATGGTGTCCATTTACCAGCTTAAATAGCGTCTGGGGTCTTAAAGGCTTGTTTCTTTTTTTTTGTTGTTGTTGTTTTTTTTTAATCAATTTATTGGTGCTCATACAATTCATCACAATACATAGATCAATTGTATAAAGCACATCTATACATTTGTTGCCCTCATTATTCCCAAAATTCGCTTTCCTCTTGGGTTCCCGGAATCAGCTCATTTTCCTTTTTTCCCCTCCCCCTCCCTTCCTCCTCCCCTCTCCCCCATGCACCCTTGATAATTTATAAATTATTATTGTATCTTATATTACACTTCCCGGTGTCTCCCTTCACCCACCCCTCTGCTGCCCGTACCCCAGAGAGGAGGTTATATGTAGCTCCCTGTGATCAATTCCCCCTTTCTACACCCCCTTTCCCTCCTGGTATCGCCACTGTCACCCCTGGTCCTGAGAGGTGCATCTGTCCTAGATTCCCTGCGTTTCCAATTCCCATCTGTACCGCTGTGCATCATCTGGTCTAACCAGGTCTGCAAGGCAGAATTGGGGTCCTGGTAGTTGGGGGGAGGAAGCGTTTAAGAACTAGAGAAAGGTTGTGGGTTTCATTATAGCTATACTGTACCCTAAGTGACTCATCTCCCCACTACCCCTCTGCAAGGTATGTCCAGTTGTCTAGAGATGGGCATTGGGTCTCCATCACGCGCCACCCTCATTGACGAGGATATGATTCCCCCGCCTTTGGTGTTTGAAGCCTGGTCCCTTTGGCCCTTCATGATCACACATGTTGGTGTGTTGCTTCCATGTGGGCTTTGTTGCTTCAGGGCTAGATGGCCGCTTGTTTACTTTCAAGCCTTTAAGTCCCCAGACGCTATAGGTCTCGATAGAAAGGCTTGTTTCTAAACCAGCAGACATCTAAGTGATGTGTAACTACGTCCATATGGAAGAAGCACACCAGCATCAGTGACTTAAGTATCGTAAATCATATAACGTGAAGCTCAAGGAGGGAACAGTATCAGAGCCTAAACTGAGAATTTGGTTTGCAGAAGGCAATGGAAGATAGCGGGAGCCCAAGCTACTTTTATGGGATCTACACTGGAAGTAAGCCTCCAGTGATTTCCCTCTGACCGTAATAGATGGGAAGAAGCTGTTACCAAGCGTGCACTGGAGAGATGACTCTAGAAGGTCAAAAGGAGAAATCTGACTTAAAACGATTGATACCTTGTCAGCTGATCCCCCACTCTGATGCACGTTAGGCCTGACCTGGTTTTCAACAGTTTCTGTATTTGTTTGTTTGTTCATATTGGTGTTTATCTCATGTGTCTTGTTATTGGGGTGACCCTCACGAATTTTTGTGTTTGTCTATTTTTCAGTCTATGAAACCTAGGACTGAAAAACCTACAGGGACAGCAAGGAGAGTAAGGGTTTCTGGAGGGTACAGCGGGGGCATGGGGTGAAGTAACAGGGCTGATGTCAAGGAGTTCAAGAAGGAAAAGAATGTTTTGAAACGGACTGTGGTAGGACTTGTACAGTATTGCTTGATGTGATTAAACTATGGAATGATGTCTGTAGTAACTCCCAATAAAATGTTGGTTTTTTTGTTTTTTTTTTAAAGAAATCATTTGTTTTTATACTACAAATCGAATTCATTGCTTGGGGAAAATGCTGCAGAAACTGTTGTGAGGTTGAACACAGCTTACAAGGACAGCAATATGGGAAAAATTCAAGTGCTTTCTCCTTTCAAAAAAGGTGAAATGTCAATTGATGACAAACCTCGTTCTGGATATCCATCAACTTCTCAAATGGACAAAAATGTTGACTGCTAGTGCATTTGGAGGAGTTCATTCCACCTGTTCAGATTGCTAATCAAGTTTTCTATTAAGAGGTTCTGAAAAGAATGTGTAGCAGTGTGCGACAAACAATGCCTGATTTGCGGCAGATGGGGACTGGTTTTACCACAACGATGCACCTGCTCACATAGCCATCTCAGTGTGCCAGTTATTGGCAAAAACCAGCATGTCTCCCTTGCCCCATGTACCTTATTAACCTGAGATCACTCCCAGTGACTGCTTTTTGTTTCTGCAAATGAAGAGGGACATGAAAGGGTAACAATTTGATGACACAGAAGAGGTGAAGAAAAAAAACGAGGGAGGTGCTGTCAGCCACTCAAGCAGAAGTGTTTGAAAAATGTTTTCAAGAATGGAATCGCAGATTTGAAAAATGTATTAAGTGCAATGGAGAGTATTGTGAGGGTAATAAGGTCGTTTTGTTAAAAAAAAAATTAAATACCTACTTTTGGAGGATAAAAAAAACTTCCTTTTTTTTGGGGTGGGGGGGGACCCCTCATATTTTCAAAGCACCATTGGAAAGAAAAGGCTATCAACTTTCTAAATAATTTTTTAATTTTCTGTTCTAGTTCACTGGAAATACACAATATCTGTTTTGGGGAACATGTTTTCATGAGGTGAAAAATGACAAACTATTACCACATAAAAACAAACATAGAATACCTGTATCAAGTGCGTTCAATGAACTTGCAGAATCAAAATCCCCTTCAGTTACAAAAGCTAACTTCTCCAGATCAGCAAGTTCCCTTTGAATTGAGATGTGTCTCTCTGGAAGAAAAGACAATTTTAAGAGTTAGAAAACTATGCTTTTACAATTTGTCTGCCACCATCATTTTTATTACATGCTGTCACACAGAAGTTCATACTTCTGTTCCTCACAGCATATTATCTTAGTACTCAGAGGAGGAAAAGCTGCTGCATCTCCGTTTACAAAAAACAAGTGTTACAAAAGGTAGGAGGTCTGAGCAAAAGTTCCATTGTTATTTAAAATTGTTATGTAATTCTACAAGAATTGCTTCTCCTCTCTAAAGAATACTGAAATAAGAAATAAAACTCATGTGTTTTTGTCATCAAAAACTTTCAATCAGGTGGGACAAATGAATACATTAGCTTTTAACCACAAAACAATGTAGGGTGGCTAAAAGTTGGAATTGATTTGACTGCAACAAGCAAGTTGAAATGAATACTAGAGGTAAAGGTAACATAATGCAGGGATTATTTAATTCAGAATGAATTAATTCCAACAAGTAAGTCTGAGAATGTTTTTACTGAAGAAGGGGTATATGACTGAGAGTGAAGATAGAAATAGATTTCAGTAAGTCGAAATTTAGTGGCCAGGTTTTATAAACTGAGTACTTTCATTAACAAAAGAGGTATAAAAGCAGAGCTAACACCCCCTATTCCCCACACTGGCTTAAGTATAGCATGTTTGGAGGAAGGAGTAGGTGAAAAAATATTCTGCCAAAAATGTAGTTTCTATCATTGAAAGTATACATTCTATTCAAGTTAGCCTGGACTTTATTCTTGAGGCAGTAAATCTTTTTTTTTGAGGCTGTAAATCTTTGCAGGTTTCTTAAGAAGTGAATATTTTAATTTAAATGCATTCCAGGAGAGTATTTCTTTCAGCAGGAATTATTACTGCTAATTGCCATCCAGTTGGCTCTGATTCATGGCAACCACAACAGAACGAAATTTTGTTTGGTCCTGCGCTATTCTTTACAACCTTTGATATGTCTGAATGTATTATTCTAGTATATTGTGATCCATAGGATCACTGGCTGATTTTTCAGAAGTAGACCACTAGGCCTTTCTTCCAAGTCTGTCTTCAGCTGACTGAAACTCATCCACTATGACTGTGCTGGTATTTGAAATATCCATGGTACAGCTTCCAGCTAGCTACACAGAAACACACAAGAAACTGTAACATGATAACTGATACCAGGATGGTGGGAACTTATAGAGATGAGAACTTAGTAATGGAAAGGTACAGACTACATGGTAGAAGAAAAAAGCAACAGGATTTGGGGGTTGAAGAGTAAAGTAAAACATCTAAATTTTTGAGTTGATATTGAGTGATGGAACTAGTGAAGGAAGCAGAAAACATTTGATGGAAAGAAGAGAAAACGATTGCAGTTTCATCGGTGTGTTTGATGGAGAATGTGTATGTAGTAATGCTCATTAAGTGACTTCTTTAAAGCATCAAAAAGCAAAGAAGTCACTTTTGAGGACTAGGACTATTTTGAAAATAGCCAGGTTTGGTATTTTTAATGGTCTCATGACATGCAGAAGTTGGACAATGAAAAAGACTGAAGAAGTGACACCCAAATTGTAGTGCTGATGAATACTGGCAATCTGGTCTGCCAGCAGAATTAACTAATCTATCGAAAAGGAAGTATAGCCAGAACACGCCTTGGAGAGAATGATGGAGAGGCTTATCTTGCTTACTCTGGGCACACTATCAGAAGGCACCTACCACTGGAGAGGCATCGTGCTTGGTAAAGTAGAGGATCAGCAAAACCCTCATAAACCCAACAAAAACCCAGATGCTCCTCAGGATAGACTGACATAGCAGCTGCAGTAATGGACTCAAACACACCACTGACCGTGAGGGTGGCACAGGACCAGCAGTGTTTGGTTCTATTACATACAAGGTCACTTTTAAGTTGGAGATGATTCGGCACCTAACTACTACTATGGCTAGTAGGCTGATGAAAATTCTGGTTTTGGAGTTCAGGAGGGATTCTTAATGGAGAAACAAACATGAATACATGTTCTTAAATTGGGTAAGAAAGCCCAATTTAGAAAATGCAAAAAGGGAAAAAGACCCATTCTTGCCTAAACACAACTGATTCTTGATAGAGGAGGGGGACGCATTATCACACTGCTGAACCCACTTGAGAAGAAAATAAAAAGATCTAATCTGAAAGTGCAAGATAGAAGGATGTGAGCATTTTATGAAATGTGGAGGAAGAACCAAGAAGGTAAACTCAGATGATGCAGTAGGCAAAGGAAGAGTCTGGAAAAGAGGACTTGTTTAAGATTGACAAGCGGTCGAGAAAAGATTACAGCTTATTAAAGGTCCCTGGAAACCGGTAAGAAAGCAGTGAGATGGAAGGAGTACGAATGTGACTGGAAGGAAAAGGACAGAAAATCAGGATGAGTATTTCTTCAGGAAGTTTGATCGTATAAACAGAATGGGATTAAACTTGCCGTTTCTTTCTTTCTGAGAGCCCTGAGTAGAGGTGCATCCTTATAGGAAGATTTAAAAAGTGAAAGCATATGACAGGAGACTGGAGATAACTGATAGGAAGTGATACCCAGGGAGATAGCAGATGAGGAAACTGTAAGGCTGTATTATTAAGTTAGAACATTTAGAGCCTCAAAACAGTGATTCTAATTAATAGCTACCCCACGTGTGTCAGAATAGAACGCTTATAAAGTTTTCAATGGCTGATTTTTGGGGAAATAGATCACCAGACCTTTCTTTCAAGGCACCTCTGGGTAGTTAACTTCTTATTCTAGGTATTGTTCAAATGACTATCAAACCCAAATCAAACTCACTGTAATGAAGTTGATACCAACTCACAGCAATCCTATGGGACAGGCAGAACTACCCCCATGAGTTGCTGAGACTGTCACTTTTTATGGGAGTAGAAAGCCCCATCTTTTCCCCTATGTATCTGCTGGTACTTTTGAACTGCTGTCCTTGCAGTTAGCAGCCCAACATGTACCCACTGAGCAACTGGCTCTTTTTCAAATGACTATACTGAGATACAATTTCTGAAGGGGAAAAATTTTTGCCCTCGTCATCAAAAAACTTATTGCAAGGTCAGACAGATGCAGGCAATGCATTCAGGTGTACACAAACTAACCAAAACCTAGTTGGCATCCTCCTTTCAAAAATCTGGGGCGGTGAAACGAGGTGCATAGTACATCACTACATAAAAATGTGCTGATTAAAATAATTCTATCAAATAGCACTAAGAGAAAAGCTGGTAAATAGAAGAAAAATCTTACCATCTACTATTGAAAAAAAAAAAATCTCAAAAGATCTAAAACATTCAAAATTACTCTGGTTCAAGATGGTAGACAATCACAGAACCCATTTTTGTAACACACTAATAACCCATAATTTAATAGGCAAACCTCTTGCTAAATCAGACGAGTCCAAGATGCTAGGTTCTTTTATAGTTTCTTCTGTTACTTTTCCCTCAATTTTCAATTCTATTTCAGATATGCCATCTTCATCTTGCATAGTTATGACTGATTTCAAAGGGCTAATTAGACCATCTAAACATAATTTAAAATAGTGATTAATATATATATTTATTTTTGGTTCCATAGCACATCAGATTTCTCAATCACTACATATTTTAAAACCTCTTCAGAATTTTCATTTACACATTCTACAAATTACGTATCTATAATATATGAATAAACCTTTCCAAAATAGGTTTAGCATATTCTTAATGACAGCGATTGGGGTGGAGGAGGAAGCATGCATTTCCTTAGTTATTGAACTGACTTCTGAAACTGAGGTGCAGAGGCCATTTAATTCACTCTGGAGGATGTGTTCCTACACCTCTACCCTACTGTAGACCTGGATAAAGAAGCCACCAGCTTTACTTATCATATGCCAATCCTGATGTTAGATGAGAAGGAAAGGTCCAATTTGATTTGGCCTTTCCTGTACTCAGCCCTACCTTTAAATCTACAACAATTTATATGTTGATTTAAAACTGCCAAATAATTCTAAGAAATCCTGTCTGAGTGTTTTATCAACACTGAACTTACAAATGGCTGGGAAATAGAAAGGACAATGAATTAATCGGAGAGCTTTAAGAAGAGCGCAAAGGTCAACTGATGGACTATGAAATTAAAAATGAAAACAATCCAAAAATCCCTCTGGTTAGTTCTTTCTTGGACCTTATAGTTACGAGTATTCAGAAGATCCTTTAAAGCAGGTTTTTAAAAGCATCGTTTTTAAAATACCTACAAGGCCCAATAAATCACTTAAAAAAAAGCATGCAAACATTCAGAAGCACAATCTCAGCTCTGCATGTAACAGCGGCCTTCTGATCGAATGGAGTAACACAATGTAAGCGGTAATTTTGTGCGGGGGAAGATATACTCCATGACCTAGTCTACTTTTTTAAAAAAATCATTGTATTGGAGACTCATACAGTTCTTACCACAATCCATATAGTCTACTCTTTGTAAAACCATTCACCAGCTTCAAATTCTTTTTGCAAGCTTTATGAATGGGGCAAACAATCATCTCTATGTCGAGTCACAAAGTTTGACGGGCAAGGGGCACCTCTGGACTAGGTCACCTTTTTAAAGGGCTTCGTATCAAGTTCCGTGTAAATTCCCATTTTGCATGGAGGCAAAACAAAGCCCTCATAACCAAGACCCCTTCGACCTCCTAATTTTCTTCCACCCGCCGGCCCCGTGTCTTCCCCACGCCCCCTACTACGCTCTGTTCGAGGCTGATGGAAATGCCTCCTAGCACCTTGTACCTCCGTTCTCCCCGACACCCAACCTCCGCCCCCGCCTTCCCCGTAAAAGCCGTCCCGGGAGGACGGGCCTCCCTTCTCCCCAGCAAGGCGCACTTGCTCGCTTTTCGGACGGCAGAGAGATGAGGGTCTGCTGCACTTACTGCCTTGAGCCTCCTCGGGGGCAGAGGCTAGGGACGGGGACAGGGCCGGAGCCGGGGCCAGGGCGGGGGCTGCGGCGGGAGCCGAGGCCGGGGCCGGCGCCGGAGCCGAGGCTGGCATCGGGGCTGGCGCTGGAGCCGGGGCCGGGGCCGAGTCCGCGGCCGGGGCCGGGGTCGGAACCTGGCCCTGGGCCACCTCTGCCTCCTCCTCCTCCAGGGGCAGCAGCTCCTCCTCCGCCATATTCTCCATAGCTACCGCCTCCGTGCTAGGCCCGCCCGGGACCAGGAGGGGGCTCCCGGCGAGGTGAGTCAACTGGCGTCAAAGCCCAGGAGAGGGGGGGAACAAATGGGGGCGGGGGACGAGGGTTTGAATGCGTGCAAGCGACAACAAACAAACAAAAAGACAAAACGAAGAAACAGGATTAAATCTTGCCAGCAGAAAAATAAAGGCCAGAGGCAGCAATTTACGGCCCCGTCGATTCCCTTTCCCCGAGGCGTTACGACGCCACTACGCAGAAGCGTATCCGGGATGGCGTCCAATGAGGTAAGAAAGTTCCGTTTCCACACGAGCCTCCGCTCCACCCATCAACCACGGAATCTACCCGAAACTACAATACCCAGAGTTCACTGAGCCTCCTGGGGCGGGGCCGGACCTCCGCGTCTAGGAGGAAGTAAATGCAAATCAACACAGACTCCGAGGCGTTCGGCGGGCTCGCTGCATTAGAGAGCAAACTGCATTTCCCAGAGGGCATCGGGCTGGGGGTGGGGTTATTCCTTCGCGGCTTGGGCCTCCGAAGTTGCCACCGCGGGCTACGCTGTGAAGGTAAGGAATTTGGGAATGCTTTGAAGTTTCCCCGGATAGGGTCCCTCGCCAGCTCCAGCTAGCCCAGTGGGCGCCTGGGCGGCCAGTTTGGGGAACGATTAAATCACTCGTGCCTGGGCGGCGACCCTGTGGGTGGATCCGTCGGCTACCTGGCTGCTAGGAGGTGTGGTTCGGTATTTTCCCTGCCCCTGGCGCTGCCTTTTGCTCGGCGTTTGGGTTTGGCCCGAGACTGGATCTTAAGGGCTAGGCAACAACGTGGTTCGTACCTCAGCCCTTTAAACAGGAGCCTTGATCGAGCTCTGTCTCCAGTCCGACTGGCTTGGACTTCGGGACTTCACATTGTGGCCGCGACACTGTTTTTCACCGTTTGCAGATTGCTTTAGCTTGCGCATTCCCCGGGCCGTCAGCACAGCGCGTCCTTTGGATTGGGGTTATTTTTCTTCCCTGGCCGCAGGTCGGCGTGTGCAGTTCGGGGCACTAGATTCCTATTCCCCAAGGAGTACGCTAGTAGTAAGTCTAATGTTTTTTCTTTTCTTTCCAAGATCTTGTGCTCAAGTCCCATTCGTTCAGTCATTTTTGGTCAAGTCCACTGGGGCAGGCAGGAGGAAAAAAATTGAGTTTTCTGGCTTCTTTGAATTGTATGAATTTTAGGTCTCAAGGAGTGGGAATTTCCTTTGGGCCTCGGATGTCAGGCTAGCACTTCAGGTAAGCGTTCCTCAGGAATAAAGCTGATTACGAAATACCCACCTTAGGGGTCTGTTTAATTCCTACTTGTTCTAGAGCTCAGAGATTCTAGTTTGTGTTCAGTGTTAGGGAGAGCTTCACTGAGATTTAAATTGGGTCTTAAGAGATGCCATTGCTTGTACAGTTGAAGATAAGACGAGAGAATATATTCCCAGAAGTACAGGTTTAAATGTCCCAGTATTTATTGTTAGGAGGAAGTAGTGGGAAGTGAAGCATAAGTGGGGGAGGGGAGCGGATAGTTGGGACCAGGTCCTGAAAGGAACTTGAATTCATTCTAGAGTTTTGGCCCTTATACTCTGAGAAGTTCTTTAGAAGCTAACAGATGTTTGTGTGTGTGAAATGGGGAAGGGTGATCAGACTGAGTTTTAAGAAACTTAATTATGTGGGAAATGGGAGTGGAGATGGTGGAGGCAGCTGCAAGACTTATGCTCCGTGGGGCCTCCCACCGCTCCACCCCCATAAAGGTATGTTGTTGTTCTTAGGTGTAAGTTATTTTGTTGCTCTTAGGTGTTGTTCAGTGTGATTCCATCCTGTGTGTACAACAGCAAGCCACAGTGCCAGGTTCCAAATGGAGCTCACTTTTGTAGCTGCCGTGACAATTCATCCCAATGGGGTCCTTCCTCTTTTTCACTGACCTTTTACTTTACTGAGTAGAATGTCTTTTTCCAGGGTCCAGTCTCTCCTGATAAATGTCCAAAGCACATGCAAGCAAGAACCATGAAATTATAGTAGTGAAGAAAAGGGATTTTATTTGGCATATGCAGTAAAAAGAAAACAAATATGGCCCATGGACATGTCATCTGGTAGTATCAGCCTGCTTCTGAAGAACTTTACAAGTCTAGGAAATATATAGAAGATTACTCTTTGTGCCATGTTCATTGCCATTAAGTCTTTGTCAACTCATAGTGAACCGAGAAGACGGGTGGAAATACCCTGCTGCGTTTCCGAGACTAACGCTTTACAGGAGTAGAAAATTCAACTTTCTCCTGCTGAGCAGCTGGCATCTGAACTGCTGTCCTTGGGAGTCAGCAGGCCAAAGCTTCTTGTGAGCCAGAGCTCCTGGAAAAATAGAATGACCTTACCCCAAATGTTTTAAAACAGAATACTGATTTCCCAGGTTTACTCTGGGTCATTATCCAGCAGGGCTTATATATGTGTATATATTAAGGTGACCAGATTTAACATTGGTAAAGCAGGACACCGTTGATATGAGTTTTATCACATGGCAGCTGAAAACCATATACCCTACCTTGTACACTTTCCAAAAATTGGGACTTTTTTAAAACGCCGCAGGACGCGGGAAAAATTGTTAAAAATCAGGACTGCCCTGCCAAAAGTGGGACGTCTGGTCACCTTAGTATATATATCTATATCTATCTATCTGTATATATACAGTATGTGTAGTTTTCTCGTACCCCCCTTACCAAATGTGCGCCAAACCACATGACTGTAGAACACCCTCCAAAATGAGGAATTTTCGCTTAGCAAAAGCTGAAGCAAAGCGCCAATTTTCAGATTTTGAGTCTCCTAGGTATCAGAGGCAAAGTGCACAGGGAGAATGAACAATTCACAGCCAAGAGAACACATAGCAAAACCTGATAAAGTCTCTGCAGCCCCTGAAACACGGGTTTGCAATTCCAAGAGCGTTTGTCCTCGTGGAGCCTGCAGGTCCACGGGCATGGGAAGGACAGTGCCTTCTCTGGCGCCACGTTTGCCCTGGACCCTCCAGCGCTCCCACCAGGAAAGGCAGCTTTGGGTTCCTGTTATTTGACTACACCACTTGTTTTAGGGTGCAAAAGAGACTCCATTTCAAATATAATTTGAGGAGAACATGTATTGTCTTAAAAAGCGACAAGGATAACAAAGACTCAGACACATCATCCGGTAAGGAACCCTGGTGGTTAGGCATGGGGTGATAATTGCAAGGCTGACAATTTAAAAGCCACCAGAAAGATGAGGCTGTCTGCTGTGAGCGTCACCGGGACTAGATTCTGTGAAGGAATGGATGCTGTGGCAAAGGATGAATCACTGATTGTTTTTCCAGGTATTATTGGTACAAGTTTTCAGTAAAGACAGGAGTCTATTGTCCAACAGTAAGAGTGGTTAACTGCCCTTAATGTAAATGTCTTGCTTGTAAGGACACTGCAGGTAAATTCTCTCCCTTTTTATGTAAACATTTTTCCATGGCTGTTCTTCCTGAGGCCACACTGCCTAGGCTGGTCTAAGCATGGCCATATTGGTGTTTCAAAGGCCAAAAACTTTGAGGAAGTAATATAAAGAACTCAAATGCTTAGAAGCTGAAATGATAAGCTATAATCTATTTTTCATGTTTCCTTTAGCTTTAAAAGATGTTCAACAAAGAATCTTGTGGGAAAAAAGAGAAGTCTCGGAGAAAAGGCACCACCTCATCGCCCAATGTTGATAAAGAAGTAAGGAATTTTTAAAAAAGTTTTATTGACATATAATTCACATATAATTCAATAGTTCATTCACACCAAGGAGAGTTGTAGAGTCATCACCATCCGTTTTCGAACATTTTCTTCAATCTCGTACTCATTAAATATGGAACAATTCACGAATTTGCGTTTCATCTGTAAGGAGAGGCCATGCTAATCTCTTTTGTTCCAATTTTGATATATGTAATGCGAAGTGAGCACAAGAAACTACTTCACGTTCCTTTTTTTAAATAAATAATTTAACAATTAGTTTTTTAATATTCAACAAACCCTAAGTATACCTGTTTTTAAAAGAGACATATGATTATTTTGTTTTGTCCTTTGGGTCTAGAAAGTTTCATTGTTTTTTTCATTCCTTACTTGCGTTATTTTAACTATTTCTCACAACTCAGTAAGGTAGGTACTGCTATCCCAATTTCCCAGAAAAACTGAGACTCGGGGTTAAATAGTTTGTGTTGATATTCTTCACTTCAATTCTAAGTGCCCAAACTCCCCCATTCATAGAAATAACTCAGTTTTAGACTATCTTCCACACTTTCTCAGTGTTTGCCTCCCCTCGCCACAGCGGACGGGTAGGATTGTACTCTCGTTGACCACAATGGTGTTCCTATGGGAGGGAACTGGGAGTAGGAGATAAATGTTCTTCATGTTCCTTTCTTTCTCTTGCTTTAAGCGTACTGTCTTAGGAAGGGCCTTCATAGATGAAATTTAGGATAATTCATTAGTTTACATGGGTTTTGTCTTCAGGACAGCAGTGTGTTGTAAATGTCTTTGTCTTCAAGACAACAATGTGATGGTAAAACTAAATAACACATAAAAAAATCTTCTGAATAGTTCATTGTTAGAATCACGTGGTGTTCATGTTCTATTACTGACCAAGATCACTTAGGGTTCATATGCATTTTCCATAACGTAGATAAAGTATTATAGAGATCTTTGGATGTTTTTGCCTTTATTCTTTGCTTATCTACTAACCTTATGATTGCTAATTTACCTTCCAGGAGGAACCCCGGTAGTATAGTGGGTTATGCGTTGGTCTGCTCAAGACAAGGTTAGCAGTTCGTAACCACCAGCCACTCCGAGGGAAAAAGATGAGGCTTTCTACTCCCATAGAGTTACTGTCTGACACTCACTAGGGGCAGTTGTACTCTGTCCTATAAGGTTGCTATGAGTCTCTTGTTTGGGTCTTATAAAATGATGGGAAGAATACTGTCAGAACCTGTCCAGTTTCATGGAATGATATGAATCAGGATCAACCTAAGACTGATCCTTATGAAATGATGGTTAGACATTCACCTTCTCTCCAGACATTTTACCAAATTGGACACCAACTGACTCCCCTGCAGCACCCTCTACTGCTTTTCTGGGCTAGCTAATCCCTTGTACAGCACTCCACAGGTTATATGTATAGTTGCGTGGTTTCTTATGGAAGCAGGGTACAACTCGATGTCAGGATCAACAGGCTGCAGCTAAAGATCAGGATCAGCAAACCTATAGGCAAAGGCTCCCCCAGGTGTGTATTCTTCCCTTCTGAAGTGCAGGTCACTTATTTCAGCTCTTCTTGGCCATGCATCCTTTTCTTTGGCTCCCTGAGGACAGGCCTCTGGTAGGATGAGGACAGGGCCCTCTTGTCTCAGCTGTGTGTCACCATCAACTATGCTGCAAGTCCTTTTCTGGGCGATAATAGCCAATTCTGTCAAAGAGCCCCTTCTGGGATTCTCACTCCCTTCAGTGTTTGTTATAGTACCTTTGACCGATTTTCAGTTCTTTTAGGAGGTGCTTTTGCCTCCTTTCTCTTGTTTTTTTCCATCTTCCTTTTGCTTATGCTTTGCCGATTCTTCTTTCCATCTGACAAACTTCTTTGGGGTTGGCTACATTTATACACAATTCCCTGTCTATTTCAAGAGATGGCCCCCTGTTAGTGGTGGTAGGACACAAAATTACCAATCACCTCTTGATTGACTCCCAGCATTTCATTTACTTAATGCACCATAGGCCATCTTAAGTGTCTATTGCTCAGTCCTTACCAGGTGCATACTGGTCACAGCTGCCCAGGGCTAAATAAAAAGTATCCAACCTAAGTTGTGTACAATTTACTCAGGAAATTCCAGTTAACTAAGATGAAAATTACACATTCTCTGAGGTAGAAAAGTAGAGCAGAGGTAACTCCTCAGGTTTTAAGTTGAAAAATCTCAAGCCGTTTTTCCAAAGAACTAAGGAAAAAGCCTACATAAAGGAACTCATTGCACTACTGGTCTCCATTTAGATGTCAGTTTCTCCCAAGAGACCTCTCGTCATTTCGATTCCCCCTACCCCCCACCCCAGCTTCCACCTCTTCTGTTCCTCTTCTCTACCCCACCTCCCCCGCCCCCACACCAACTAACATACTAAATGTATTGTTTGTTTACAAATTCCTGTACCTCCATGAGTTTTGTTGCCCCCCCCCTTTCATTCTTTAGTACTCTATCTCCATTGTCTAGAATGACTTTGGTACAGAATACAAAAAACTCACTACCATCAATATGAAACTGACTATTTGCGACTTTACAAGACAGGGTAGAACTCTAGGTATCTACGAGAATAGAAAGCCCCATCTTTTCCCTGTGGAGCAGCTGGTGATTTTGAACTACCAACCTTTCAGATTGCAGCACTAAGCCATTTGGTCTTCCCTGCTATAGGATAGACACTCAAAATGTGTATGGAAAATGAGTGGACAGTTGGAGGAGACCACCCAGTTGTGTGCTGTTGAGTTCATTCCAACTCGTGGTGACCCTACATGATGGACTAGAACTAACCTGTAGAGTTTCTCAGGCTATAATCGTTTAGGAGCAGATCACAGGATTTTTCTCCCCCAAAGCCACACTGTGGGTCTAAACTGATGACCTTTTAGTTAGCAGTTGAACAATTAACCATTGTACATCTATCGGCATTCCTTTGTAGATCCTAAATTAAGGTGACCAGATTTTAACATTGGTAAAGTGGGACAAAAGTGGGACACCATTGATAAAACTCATATTCTGGCGAAATAGCCACATGGCAGCCGAAAACCTTATACCCTACCATGTGCATTCTTTCCAAAAATCAGGACTTTTTAAAAATGCCACAGGACACAGGAAAAATTGTTAAAAATCGGGACTGTCCCGCCAAAAGCCGGATGTCTGGTCATCTTATCCTAAATCTGCATCGACTGAACTTAAACTCCTCTGAAAATAAACAGGATATCCGTTTTTTCTTTTGTATTCATTTTTTACTGCTCTCATAACCAAGTACCATACATGAGATGCTGTGCACGAGCATAAATTTGTAGTTTCACAGAATTCAAGGTGTTGATAGAACCTATTCTTTTCTGCTCTCGGTGAAAAAGCCCTTCCTGTCTTTTCCCTCTTCTCGTGTGGCACAGGAGCCCCGATGGGGTAGTGGGTTAAGTGTTGGGCTGCTAACCACAATGTCTGCAGTTTGAATGCACAATGTGCCAGTGCTCTGCAGGAGAAAGATGAGGTGGTCTGTTTCCTTAAAGAGTTACAGGCTTGAAAGCCCACAGGGTTTCCTTTAGGCTCGCTATGTCCTTTAGGCTCGCTATGAGTCAGTTGGCTCGAGGGTAGTGAGTTTGATTTTTGAGTTTTAATGTGGCATCTAGATGCATCTTTACATGGGTTTCCCCTTTCATTCGTGGCTGTTCCCTTTTATAAGACAAGACTCAGATTGTATTGGGACTCACCCTATTTTAGTATCAGAAAACCCAGTGCTACCAAGTGGATTCTTAATCTGTCATCGTAGCAGATAGAATAGTACTGTTCTACAGGTCGCCGGTTGTAAATCTTTAGAGAAGCTGACTACTTCATCTTTCTCTTGTTGAGCAGCTGGTGGGTTTGAACTGCTGACCTTTTGGTTGGTGGCTTGGTGCTTAACCTCTACCCAAAACATCACACTCACTGACATTGAATCGATTCCTACTCATAGCAACCCAGTAGGACAGAATAGAACTGTAAATCTACAGGAGTAGAAAGACTTCTTCAAAGGGGCTGGTGGTTATCAGCCACATGTGTAACCTCTTATGCTTTCATGGCCCCTTTTAATCACTGAACCACAAGTTAAATTCCTCTTGTAAATTTAGCTGATAACATCATCAAAGGTCCTATCTCAAATGGTACCAGGAGTTTGGAATTTGGGGGACAAAATTGAATTCATAAGAGCTTATTGCAGACTGAATCCCATTATGAAAATGCCACCTCTCATGGCTGTTATCCGAGTTGCCCTCCCCTCTGTAATACCTGTTTCCCTATCATATCTAAATTCAGGAGCATCTGGGTTCTTTGGTTTCTCCCTTTCTCCTGCCAACATTTGTGTGTCTTTAACATCGTTCCCCTCTGAAATGTGTTAACTGATGTAGAGGGAATGTTGATTTATAATGATTAAATGCTGTTATCTTGTAGTATGCCTTATTTTGTGATTTTCTGTTCCCCCACCCTATTTTTTTCCTCCTTTCCAAATGACATTCTTAGGATAAGAAAGAGGAAAACACTTCAGGTTCTGCTAGTTCGACTTCCTCTGTAAGATCAGTTTCTTCAGAGAAGAGAAAACTGGTAAGTGCTTAAATTTCAAGTTTCCTCCCAATATTTTTCCCTTTTTTTTTTTTCTTCTCTAACTTTAGTTTGTCATTCAAGAGTCCCTTAAATTTGGTCAGAGTTAATTTCCCCACTCCTTCCATGAAAGTGTTCCTGTGTTTTTCTGATTCGGCTGGAATTTTCTCTCTGCTTACTTGATGTGTATCGTCTGTACCTTCTTAGACTGCCTAAGCATTCTTAGCCCAGAATGTCCTTCTCTTCTTTTATGAATATTTTGTTCATTTTTTCCCCTGTCTTGAGGTGTTTGGTAACGCTGCCTCTTTGACACATAGTCATGTTCGTATTCAGTTGATTATTGTATTTATCTTTTTACGTAGCCCTTCATTTGTCTTTTGTTAGGTGCTTTTAAGTCGGTTCTGACTCACAGTGACACTGTGTACAACAGCATGAAGCACAGCCAGATCCTGCACCATCCTTAACAATTGTTAGTCTTGAGCCTGTCGCTGCAGCCACTGTTGGTCCATCTTGTCAAAGGTCTTCCTCTTTTTGCTGATCTACTTTACCAAGCATGATGTCCTATTCCAGGAACTGATCTCTCCTGTAACATGTCCTTATATGAGAGAGTCAAGCTGGGAGTCCATAGAAAAGGGGATATTGGATTAAGGGTTTCAAAATTACTCCCTGTTACACAAATTATGTAGTTCTGATGAATTCTGGTTCCTTGACTTGAGTCTTAAGGTTCAAGAGTTTGAGGCCAGAATCACTTTCTTAGAGCATGCGCCCACATCCGGCTGGGCCCTACTAAGGGTCAGGGTCTGTAGCTGGAACACGTCATCAAAAAGAAAGACTGGCCGGCAATAAGGTGGGAGTGTTCTTTTCGAGTTAACTGATTAGGCACATCCTTTGACTAGTTAATTAAGTGCCCTTTTATTTTATTTATATGAGCCTTGAGGATTTGCTTAACCCAGCTGGCATCACAGTAACACCATTCAGCTCTTTCAAAGGAGCTTTCATGGTGCTGTGGTTTAGACATTGCTGTACTAGTTGCAGGCTGGGTTGGCAGTTCAAACCCACCACCTCGGGGAGAAAGATGAAGCTCTCTGCTCCCATAAAGATGTACGGTTTCTAAAAGCCATAGGATTCCTAAAAGTCAAAATCAGCTTGTTTGCAGTGGGCATTTTGATTTAAGCTCTTTAGGACAGAGACTATATCTTCTTTCTCTTTCTTGAGGTTACTGCTTTATCTCCAGAGTACTTGAGAGATGCGATGATAGAGTAGAAGAGAATCAAACAGGTCTAGTTTCTAATCAGCAGGCTATTGGCTACTGACTAACTGTGACATTGAGCTAGATACTTAGCTATATGGAGTCCTGGTGGTGCATAGGTTATCTGTTGGTCTGGAATCCATATGGCCAGCAGTTCCTGTAGACAGTGAGAGTCTTGGAAACCCACAGGAGGTCGCTGTGAGACTGAAATGACTTGATGGCAGTGAGTAGGTGTGTAGTAGATTTTAAGTGCTGGGGTGCTAAGCACAAGATAATTTACTGGTTTTTATCAGCAAAATACAGATATACACATTTCTATCATACAGGTTTATTGGAAGGATTAAGTAAATTATTGTGCCAAGCTTATTGCCAACATACAGGGATGGGGAAAATACTGCCTTCAAATTTCTTTACCTGTACTTACATAATTTGTGTTTTATAAGTGATGTTGTTTTATTTCAGAAACCAGATCAAACAGGTATTCTCTATTATGATACAAAAAGAAGACAAGAACTCAAAAGGTAAATTCTGCTTTTCTTTGATATGTTTTGGCTTACAATTGTGACACTAGTTCTGTTGGGAAAAATCTTTCTATACTGTCTTAGTGCTGCTTTGTGTGTAAATACTCTAGTACCTTGATTATGATTATTGAATTTTCTAATGTTACCTGAAGTATAAGAATAGGTATGAAATTTAAAAGTTGACCAAAATGCCTATTTTAACATTGATTTGACTTTGGCATATCATTTGGCACCATATTCTGATAGAAGAGATACGTGTTTTATATGAACTGGTTCCATAGTGCCTCTGATGAGATTGTGCAGCGCATTGCATTGAGAGAGTTGGATACTGTGCCCGTCAATCAGAAAGTGGCTACAGTAAGAGAAGTTGAGGATAATGACTGGAATAGTGAAAATTACTTTTCTTAAATTTATGCATCTTTTTGAATAAAAATTTCAGTGAACTTTGAGGTGAAGGACCTACTTGCGACCAGTTGAGGGTAAATTAGGTTCTTAAATGTCTAATTTGATAGCAGTTTACTTGGTAAGATCCAGGTTTCCTTGAAAATAGGGATTATGGAACGAATTAAAATGACCTTAAATCTGTAAGTCAAAGTTCTTCCCAAACAAATTATTGCTTGCTGAAAAACAAACAAATTCAGCTGCTTCTGAATTAATTTCAGTTTGTCTTGGAGTCATAGCCTTCTGAGAAGTTTCCTTGTTGCTTCGATCTGTTTTGTGATACATTCTTTTTACATTATTATCTTTTTTTAATCATTTTATTAGGGGCTCGTACAACTCTTATCACAATCCATACATCCATCATTGTATGTCAAGTACATTTGTACATTTGTTGCCCTCATCATTATCAAAATATTTGCTTTCTACTTGAGCCCTTGATATCAGCTCCTCATTTTTCCCCTTCCTACCCTGCCCCCCCCTCCCTCATGAACCCTTGATAATTTATAAATTATTATTTTGTCATATTGTACACTGTTCCACGTCTCCCTTCACCCACTTTTCTGTTGTCTGTACCCCAGGGAGGAAGTTATATGTAGACCCTTATAAGGTTCTACCTTTCTACCCCATCTTCCCTCCACCCACCTGTATTACCACTCTCACCACTGATCCTGAAGGGATCATCCTCCCTGGATTCCCTGTGTTTCCAGTTCCTATCTGTACTAGTGTACATCCTCTGGTCTAGCCAGACTTGCAAGGTAGAATTGGGATCATGATAGTTAAGAACTAGAGGAAAGTTGTATGTTTCATATTTGTTAACACTGCACCCTGACTGCCTCGTCTCATCCCAGCTACTCTTCTGTAAGGGGATGTCCAGTGGCCTACAAATGGGCTTTGGGTCTCCACTCCGCACTCCCCCCCTCATTCAGTATGATAAGATTTTTAGTTCTGATGATGCCTGATACCTGATCCCTTCAACACCTCGTGATCGCACAGGCTGGTGTGCTTCTTCCATGTGGGTTCTGTTGCTTCTGAGCTAGATGGCCTCTTGTTTACCTTAAGCCTTTAAGACTCCAAACGCTATATCTTTTGATAGCAGGGCACCATCAGCTTTCTTCACCACATTTGCTTATGTACCCGCTTGTCTTCAGCAATCATGTCGGTAAGTTGAGCATCATGGAATGTCAATTTAATAGAACAAAGTGTTCTTGCATTAAGGAAGTAATTGAGTGGAGGCCCAATGTCAATCTGCTACCTTAATACTAAACCTATAAATATATGCAGGTACATCTATTTCCCCATCATCCTATATTAATATATTTACATATGTACATTCCTGTATTTAGGCCTCTATAAATTCCCTTTGCCTCCTAGTTCTTTCCTCTATTTCCCTTTACTTTCCTCCTGTCCCACCATCATGCTTAGCCTTCATTTGGGTTTGAATAATTTCTGTTGGTTACATTGCCCTTGATCAATCCCTACCAGGCCTCACATACCTTCCTTACCACTGATTTTGGATCACTTGTTCCCCTGTTCTTGGGTTGGTCAATACCACCTCCTTTCCCCCACCTCACCCTGTCCCATGTCCCCCCATAAGCGTGAGGCCGGTGTTTTCTCCACCACACTGTTCATCCAGCCTGTTTTATTTAGATAGACCTGCAGAGATAATAATATGCCCCCCCCCAAAAAAAAACAAACAAACCAAAGTGACAAAAGAAAACAAAACAATGACAATAAAATAAAAACCAATGACAAAAAACAGACAAAAATGAATAAAAACCTGTAAATAGTTCAAGGACTGTTTGTTGACCTCTGGGAGTGTCCTCTAGTCGAGTCTGATGGGGTGCTATGCCCTCACCTCAAAGTCTATCCTTGGCACTCCCTCGGGACCTCCCTGCTCTGCCACATGCCCTTAGTGTTTTGCCTCCATGCGGTGGGGTCAGACCAGGCCATTCTCTACACTGTGTCTCCAGTGATGCCCCCCGTAGGGCCATGGGTCAGGGAGGGACGTCGTGTCTCCTAGTGGGGCCCGCCATATGGTCCACTCTGCATTGGCTGTTCTGAGCGGGGATATCGTGCTCCAGGGTTGGTGCACCAGGATGCGTTCCACTCTCCCTCCCCTTCATTTGCTCCTGCGTGCTCTGATCAGACACATGTCCCTCTCCCGGAGCTGCAGCTTCACTGCTGTCCTCTAAAGTGAATT